AAGCTCATGAGCCTCAGGCTTAAAAACTGGCAGCAGATTCACGGATGGATTGGAGGCACAAAGACATACAAAGGGGCCCCAGGACACACAAATAAATACACACAAATAAAATGACTCCCCATGTGTTCCCATATGTTTAGGGTTTTCGTCTTCCCCCCCACACACTTCCCATATTTTCCTATATTTTCTGGAAATCGAAGATTAATTGTGTCTGAGTGTTTTTTCCCCTCCTGAACATACTAGTACTAAATGTCCTCCTTGGAGGCGCGCGTCCGACCCGAGCAGATAGCATGCCCATCTTGTAGTACGTCGTTTCCCGAGCGGCGTGGCCAGAAAGCGCCCGCCACGACGAATATACTATAAGATTTCTCGGTGCGCGCGCCGCCCTTGGGGGTGCGACGCACATGTGGTATAAGTATGTTGGAGTGACGCCGAATGGAGGGCGCGTGGTTTTCAAAATGTGGCCCTCGCCTTGAGCTCCGCGCACACTCGTCTGAAAAACATCGCAAGAGCTTCACGGATTGAGGCTGGCTCCTCTTCAGTGGGGCTCTCGTCTCACCGCCGCGCACACTCGTCGTTCAAAATTTGAGAGAACTGCACGGAGTGAGGCCGGCTCCTTTTCAAAATGTGGCTCTTGTCTTAGCGCCGCGCACACTCGTCCTTCACGATTGCAAAAAGCTTGACTGGTGCTCATGGTAGCGTACCAGAAACGGTGTTTGGGGACGATTCCGGATTGTCAGGGCGCCACAGTTACGTTGATTCGCGGTGTTGAAATCCCAGAAATGGCATTCTGGAACGATTCAGGACCGTCAAGGACGCAACCGTCAAGTTGACTCGTGGCGTTGAAGTCATAAGAACGGCTTTTTGGCACCCTTCAGGATCTTCAAACGGTGGCCTCCCAACGGGGCCTTTCCCCCAGTGGAAATGAAGGCGTGTAGGGGCCTATCAAGAGGGAGCTTGGAGGGAGGGTGTATTCCAACATCGTTGATGGGCCTTGGGTTTACACTGGTCCCCCTCCTCCTCCATCCCTGTTCGACGCTGCAACATTCCAGCCTTCCACGGATGGCGGGAGGCGACTCTTCACAATGGGGCTCTGGCACTGGCACCGCGCACATTCGTCTCAAAGGCTTACAGCAATTACACGAATGGAAGACGGGTCCTGTTCAAAATAGGGCTTCTGCTTCAGTGCCGCACACATCCGTCTGAACAGCTTGCTACAGCTACACGGATGGAGACAAGGTCCTTGTCAAAAATGGCGCTCTCGCACAGCGCCGCGCACATAAGTTACACGGATGGAGGCCAGCTCGTTTTTACCATACGTCTGTGGCCTGGGATCTCCTCAAGAAATATCACCAAAGTGCAGAGTCGTGCAACAGTTCAAAGCGTCTGGAGGGATCTCGCACAAGACGTCTTCAGGCTCAAACAAACGCACGATCTGTGCAGGTGGAGGGCGGCTCATTTCAAAACAGGGCTCTCGCACGGAACTGCCCCAAGTGGTAGCGTGCACGCAGGGTGCCCGTCTTTCAAGGAAGCTTGCGGGGGCTCGTGAAGAGGGAACTTGCGACGAGTGTGCGTGCAGTAGCGTTAATAATCCTGAGTTTACTCTGGTCCTCCTCCTCCTCCTCCTCCTCCTCCTCCTCCTCGAGTTCTGCCGGCCAACTGAAAAGCAGCAATGCTGAGGGGGGGCTGGACACCTCGGGTTCCGCTGGCCAGTATAAGAACAGCAGTGCTGAGGGGGGGCTGGACATCGGCTCGGAAGAGGACAGCGGCAGCGAGCAACACTGGAAGGCAGCAAACCGTTAAGCCTTTAGCGAAGGCTTGCAGAAAGGACGAGCGAAGAACTCCTCAGCTGGCGAGGGTGAGGAGAGGATCGTGCGCCGCCCCAGTGACAGTGGAGGACAGCGGAGGCCGAGCGCTGTGGCAACTCGCCGCCCCACCTCCACGGCCAAGCTCGGCGGTGAGCGAGCGAGGTGAAGTGAGAAGGAGAAGGCCCTCTTAGAAGGCTCGGAAGTCCCCCGGCCTTCTGAGAAGTTCTCTGAGCCTTCCCCGAAGACACAATAAAACTGATCAGAAGGCGCGAGGGCTTCTGAGAAGTCCCGCCACCTTCTGAAAACGCCTTCTCCTTCTCATTTCCCCCCATCGCTCGCCGCTGATACTCGGGAGACGTGCTCACGGGCCCACTCACGCGCGCACAGGCTCATTCCGGTGCTGTGCATCAACTGCCACGGGCCCGAGGCCACCAGCGCGCGCGCGCCGCAGTGCGGGCTGCGGGAGGAGAGAGCAAGGCACCGCTAAGCTTTGCTTCCAAGATGGATGGCACCGAGGGCATCGTCACGGCACTCGTGCTTCCGACCACCCCGTCTTGTCCGCAGGTTCATTGCGATGCATTGCGGATGGCCGACCGCCTTCTTGTGTGTGCTGCATCAGCTTGTCGACTGATCGGAAGAGGCAGTTCTCCCTGGCAGTTTGGAGCCAGTGCTGAACCAGAAAAACAAAAGAGCCCTGCGAAGAGCACCAAGGAGATTAGACGGCGAACCGAGAAACCCCAGTTTCGGCGAGGGTGTTTGGCCCGTTGGGCCTCGGGGAATGACAGTGGCCACGGGGCCACTGCGCCATCTCAGACACAAAGCGCCCCGCATACGAAATGCAGTGCCGGCATTATTTTACAGCTGGCCTCAACATAGTGTTGAAGAGTGCCCCTTCCGCTTGGGCCCCGTTCGCGAACCTATCGTGCAACCCGTGCTAAGCCCAGTATAACAGTCCTCCTCCTCGTCGTGAACCGTCTCCTCCTTCGCCTCGTCATGCCGGTCCTCCTTCTCCCCACCTCCTTCTCCACCGAATGGTCAATTCGCACTTGCAAAGTGAAGAGCTATTCTGGCTTGTGGGAGTGCACAACGGGCTGGAGCTGCTGGTCCTTAGCGCTGAGCTCAAAACGCGGCAACATATTGGAGCCCGAAATTGCGCACACGCAAACAACACAAACGAATAGCATGGTTGGGCCTTCAACGGCGCTCACCATTTTCGCCGGTGGAAGATCACCCACGTGTCTGGTATCATGACAGATGCCGCGCCCCAACAAGCGCAGCACGTTTAGCGATGACCACCCCCACCCACCCACCCCACCACACACCATCGACGCGCGATTGCCATGCAGCCCGCGCAGGTTATGGGACCTGGTGCCACTGGGACCAGCGGCCCGCGTTGGCAAAAGTAAACCCTGGACAGCGGCAGCGGCTGAGTGCGAGAAACAAAATGCAAGCACCGGCCAGGTATCCACCTACACCGATCCCGGCCCCAGACAGCAACCTGAACGGGATCAGCACGAGTGGAAAAACGGCGCAACCCGAGGGGGACAGGAGGGAGAGCAGGGTCAGCAAAAAGAGTTGCAGAAAGAGCTGGAGCAGCAGAAGAAGGCGCAGGATCAGTCATGCTGAGTGGCTGCCCGAAGGAGGAGGGGGAAGGATGGACGCGGGAAGAAAGAAAGGAGAAGTGCACAGACGGAGCCGGGCGGAGTGGCGAAGGCCCCCTCGACCGCGCAAAAGGTCTCGCTGGAGCTCGCTGCCCTGACCCCCACAGCTGCGAAACACGCACCGTGACGACGAAACGGAGCGTCTCCTGCCCCAGGCCGTGCCTGGGCGACAAGGTTCGGCGTTCACAGAATGCACGCAGCTGAAAAATCAACCGCCGAGTGTCTCACGGCGGCAGCTCGTTCCGCGCGCCGCCACGGGCCATCCGCCCGCCGCGCAGAAGGAGGAGGAGGACGAGCGCGACGCGGAGACGGGAGGACGCAGGACGCCCGTGGCGACGACCGCTGCGCAGCTGACCCTCGCGGCCGGCGGGGCCTCGCGGGCAGCGGCCCGGGCGTCGCGGCAGTTTGCGGAGGGCCTGCCCGGGCATCGCGGCACTGCCAGTAGAGTGATGACAGACGACGAGGAGGACGAGGACGACGGGGAGGACGACGAGGAGGAGAACGAGGACAAGGGGGAAACGGGGACGACGAGGACGAGGAAAACGAAGAGAACGAGGACGAGGAAAACGAGGCCACCTTCTCGGCGTACCTGCCCCGGCTCGCATCCCAGGGATCGCTCTCCGCCAGGCCTGGGGGGGGAGCGCGGGGATGGGCGGCGCTGGGGGAGAGCGGGGACGGGGGAGGGAGGGAGAAGAAAGAGGGAGGCAACCGAGGGGAAGGAGCGGAAGGCAGGGAAGGGCAGAGAAGGGTGGACAGAAGGAGGGACAAGGAGGGGGCGAGGGGGACAGGAGAATGGAGGAGGGAACGAGGCGGGGGGGGAGGCAGGGGCAGAGGGAGGGAGGGTGCACAGACGGGCGGCGCAGAGAACATCTCGCAAGAACATGTCAAACCTAACGCGCAGCGAGATCCCAGAGGTTGTCTAACACACGAGCGCACTGAGCTATCACCACTGAACACTTAGAACCACCCGCGCGCTACGCGCGCGCGCGTGTAGGGTCCAATCGTCGACAAAGACGACAGACAGATCTTGTTTCGGGCCATATTCCGGAACTCCCCACCAATCGATGTGTTCCGCACGGATCCCTCGCAACTCCTGCTCTTCCTCAGCCATCCGTCCGTCGCCTTGTCTCGTTCCACGCACCCTCTCACCTGCATCCCTCCTTCACGGACCGCCGTCCAAAATGACCACGACCGCAGCGCGGTGGCAGGATGTATGTCGGAGGCTACCAGGCTAGCATTTATCCCGCTCTGTCTGTCTCTCCGTCTCTGGCCCTCTTGTTATTTGTGCTCTCTCTCTCTCTCTCTCTCTCTCTCTCTCTCTCTCTCTCTCTCCCCAACTGACCGTCCCCCTTTATCGATCCCTCTCTAGTCATCAATGTCTCCAAGGCGGGGCTCAAAAGCGCGCCACCGTCGCACCACTGGCAGCCAACCCCTCCAACATGATCCCATAACCCCCAAAAGGCAGTCAAGAGGCCCCAAAGAGGCCACAAGACGCACCAGGCTGGGCCACGCAGGCCCCGAGGAGCCCTCCAAGAAGCATCCCAATAGCTGAGAAAATGGCCCTCGAGACCTGTGGAACACGACCGAAGCGCAGTGGCGGGATAGGCCAAGTAGCATTGTATTTGATCCCGGGTTCCGGGCCCATGATCCGCCCCCCCACATGGAATTGGTCCCAGGGTTCCTCGGGCCGCCTGTCCCCCTGATGGGATGGGGGAGACGACGACGACGACGACGACGACGACGACGGCGACGACCTCCCGCCCCTGAAGCACCCTCACCACGCCACGTACACAAGGAGGCGACAATGGCGAAGACGCCGTTGATGACGGTTTTGATCCTCCCCCTCCTCCTCATCATCCTCCTCATCCTCCGATTCTTCTTATCATTACTATTATGCGTGTTATTCGCATTGGTAATCTGAGTTACATTATTCGCAGTCGTCTTGTTAATATCCTTCGTAACACTAGAATTATCGGTATTCGTATTCTTCTTATTACGACCAGTGTTTCATTATTGCTATTACTACCATTATTATTGTTACGCGCAGACTTATTATGAGTATTATGTTTGCTGGCATTGTTCGTATTAGTTTGATTGTCCGCCCTACGAGGATTACGAGTCGTTTCTTCTTATTAATATGAGTATGGTTATTGATGCTGTTATTGCCACGCTAAGTATTCGTAATATACCTCTCCCTAGTATTACTATGATGAGTTATCTTTAGTATGAATAGTATTATGGATAGAATTAGTATCACTCTTAGTAGTATCAGTGTTCGCCTTCTTCGTATCCGCCGACCCCTTGGGGATCATCGGCGTGTGAGATGCTTCCCCCTCCCCAAACCCCTCCCCCGGGAGCCCGGTCCGGTCGATTTGGAGGGGGGGGGGGGGTGGAGCGCGAGCGGGGGGGGTCCGGGACGAGCGACTCACGGGGCTTTTCCGGGCCCAAGAGGGCCTCAAGACGGGCCAAGAAGCCCCCAAGAGGCCTCCAAGACGGCCCACGAAGGCTCCGAGACGCCAAACGACCGCTCCAAGACGCCCACGATGGCCCCAAGACGGGCCAAGAGGTCTCCAAGACGAGGCCCAAACAAGCCTCCCAAGAGGGCCCAAAGAGTCTAAAATTGTTGATTTTCCCGAATGTTTTTCGACGTTTCTTGCTTTCCCGCCTTTCCGGCTTCCCGACGCTCCAAGACGGCCAAAGAGGCCCCAAAGATAGCCCCAAGATGGCCCAAGAGGCCCCCAAGACGGCCTCCAGACGGCCCAAGACGGCCCCAAGACGGCCCAAGAGGTCCCCAAGACGGCCCAAGAGGGCCGATTTGGAGGGGGGGAGGGGGCCGGGACGAGCGCAGCACGGCCGGGACGAGCGGTTCCAGGGCTTTTCCGGGCCCAAGAGGGCCTCAAGACGGGCCAAGAAGCCCCCAAAAGGCCTCCAAGACGGCCCACGACGGCTCCGAGACGCCAAACGACCGCTCCAAGACGCCCACGATGGCACCAAGACGGGCCAAGAGGTCTCCAAGACGGCCCCCGAGGTCCCAAACAAGCCTCCCAAGAAGGCCCAAAGAGTCTAAAATTGTTGATTTTCCAGCGTGTTTTTCTACGTTTTTTGCTTCTCCGCCTTTCCGGCTGTCCGACGCTCCAATACGGGCAAAAAGGCTCCAAAGATAGCCCCAAAATGGCCCAAGAGGCCCCCAAGACGGCCTCCAGACGGCCCAAGACGGCCCCAAGACGGCCCAAGAGGTCCCCAAGACGGCCCAAGAGGGCCGACTTGGAGGGGGGGAGGGAGCCGGGACGAGCGCAGCACGGCCGGGACGAGCGGTTCCAGAGCTTTTCCGGGTCGAAGAGGGCCTCAAGACGGGCCAAGAAGCACCCAAGAGGCCTCCAAGACGGCCCACGAAGGCTTCGAGACGCCAAACGACCCCTCCAAGACGCCCAAGATGGCCCCAAGACGGGCCAAGAGGTCTCCAAGACGGCCCCCGAGGTCCCAAACAAGCCTCCCAAGAGCGCCCCAAGAGCGCCCCAAGAGTCGAGCCGCACACGCAGGCGGCCAATCCCAGAGAGGAATGAGAAGCTCAATGTCATTTCCTATTCCTCCGCCTCCTCCTCGTCCCCCCTTCTCCTCCCCTTCCTCCTCTTCCTCCTTCTCCTGCTCCGTCTCCTTCGCCCCGCTCTTACGCTCGCAGCGTCACTCGTCCTCCTCCTCCTCCTCATCCTCCTCCTCCCACTCCTCCGAATACCCCAGCATGCCCAATAACGGATCAGCCCCAGTTTCGAAACCCCTTGTGGGTCCCTAGGCGTGTGAGATAGTTCCCCCCCCTACAGTCCCCCCCCAGGGACCCCAAACTGGCGATTTGACCCCCCCCCCATGGCCCCGCCCGAGCGACTCACGGAGCTTCTTGGGGCTCAAAAGTCTCTCAAGGCGGCCCAAGAAGGCCCCAAGACTCCGCCAAGACGGCCCACGAGGGCCCCGAGACGCCAAACGAACGCTCCAAGGCGCCCAAGATGGCCCCAAGACGGGCCAAGAGGCCTCCAAGACGGCCCATGAGGCCTCCAAGAGCAGTTCTCAGAAGGGCCGAAGAGCCGAAAATCTTCAAATTCCTATGGAAAACGTACATTTTGATCATATACGGCTTCTCGGCCTTCACGGCGTTGAACACGGTCCAAGAGCACCCCAAGACCGCCCCAAGACGGCCCAAGAGGCCCCCAACACGCGCCCAAGTCCGCCCAAGAGGGCGCCAAGACAGCCCAAGAGGCCCCCAGGACGGCCCAAGAGAGCCCCAAGACGGCCCCAAGAGGGGCCCAAGAGAGGGAGCCCGAACTGACATCCCGAGCCTTCCGCCCCGAGACGGCCCTAAAAGGCCCCGAGAGGCCCCAAGAGGCCCCCAAGACGCCCCCAAGAGGCCCCAAGAGGCCCCCCAAGAGGCCCCAGAACGGCCCCAAAACGGCCCCCAAGAGGCTTCGAAACTGCCTCCAAGAGTCCCGCGAGAAGCACCACCAGAGATCCCAGCGATCATCGCACAAGCGGGATTCGCGCTCCCGAGGCGAAGAATTCCAAAACCATGACCCAGAACATTTCCTCCGCGTCCCCCTCCTCCTCCCCCTCACCCGCCTTGTCCACGTCGGCCCCCCAGTGGCGTCAAAACTGCTTTCCAGAGGCCCCCGAAAGGAGTGCCGCGAAATTCCGATACACATACAAGAACCTCTCACCCAAAGACCATAACCCAGAGCCTCCTCTCAGTGTCCCCCTCATCCTCCTCCTCAACCACCCTCTCCTCGTCCCCCTCCTCCTCGTCCCCCTCCTCTTGTTCATGGCCCGTCACCTCGACACGTTCGATGATTCTCCCCTGTGTCCTCCGCCTCACCCCCCATTCTCCTGTCCTCGTTCTCCTTTTTCCTCAGCGCGCGCGCCCGATTCGGCATCATTTGCAGGTCTTGCACTTCAGAGTGCCTTTTTTTGCGTCGCGCGGGACATTGTGAGGGTCGGGGAACGCCGACTTCGGTAGTCTTCTCTTGCACGCGCCGCTGCACTGATACGCCTGGCAACTGCGGGCTGTGAACCCGAGTGCCGCGCAGCTTCCGCACACCACCTTTTTTTGATTCGACCATCGATGATGTTCTTTTTGGCTCTGCCTCAAATGTTTCGTGTCTGAGAACGCTCCTCCGCACGCCGCGCACGTCAGCGGCTTCGCTTCCGCCTCGGCTCTCCGTTTCCTATTATTGGACTCAAGCGTCGTCCTCTGACGTTCTTCCGCGCATTTCCGACAAGACGGCACCAAGAGGGGCCCAAGAGGGCAACCAAAAATTCAAAAATCTAGCTTCCCGCCCCCACGAGCCCCAGGGGGCCCCAAGAGTGCCCCAAGAGGCCGCCAGAGGCCCCCAAGAGGCCGCCAAGACGCCCCAAGGAGCCCCCAAGAGGCCCCCAGGAGGCCTCCAAAAGACCACCAGACGCTTCCGCATTGCGAGCCGTCAAGCCAACTGCAATGCACTCCGCGCATGCAGCCTTGCTCTTCCTCGCGACGTGCTCACAATCTTGCTCGGCGCTGTGCTACGCGACGTGCTGCTGCTACGCGAACTGTTTCGTGCGCGCTGCGAACGTCAACAGCCTCTTCACCCGTTTCGACTCATCTGCCACATCTTTCGCGGTGATGCTTCGCTGATCACAGCTTCCGCACGCTACTCTTGCTCCTTTCGTCTTCCGGTGCTCCTCCACTTGGTTGAGGGGCGAGAGGCCGACCTCCCAGAAGGACACCCCGCACCCGGGTGCACAGCACGCAAAGCGCTCGCAAAACACGCCCCAGACCACCGGCATCACACAAACATGTGGACCCCCTACGTATCTGCCACCACCCGCGCGCGACACCGCACCCTCACACAAGACGCCGCTGGCCAGAAACTCCTGGCCTCGCAACAGTCATAGAAGGGGTCGGCGAAAGTGGCGTAAGCCTGTAGATCCACAACTTACGTCCAGCATCCGCCGACCCCGCAGAAATCGAGGTGCCGTGGCGCTTCCATCTAGTGAACATGCCTCCAATTTGGCACACCCCGCACGCGGCAACTTGAATGAAAGGCCCCCAAACCCGAGTATACGCGCGGTTCCCCGCGAACATTGGGCACGTCCCTCATAGATTTCGTGGCTCCACGGCGCGCTCCAACCATAGCCCCAGTACCCGCGGTCCCGTAAACTTCCAACCCCAAGCGCACACACACGTCGATCGTGTCGTGGCTCCAGAATACGTCCACCGTGGGGCCCAGTGGGAAGATTCGCATGCAAGTATACCCCATGCCGGCACACCCTTTGCACGCGCCGTGGCCTCGCACATGGCCAAGTTGACCCATAATGACTCCTGGACAGTCCCCCAAAAAAACTCCCGACCGCTACCGAAACGGCTCGAAGACATTCCCGAGCCCAACCTGGCTCCATTATGCCTCTCAGATGGCCCCAGATGAGACCACGACCGCCCGCGGTGTCGCCGTCCGCTCGGACACCCCCGCGGAACTGCCCGAGACCCTCTGGCAGTGGCGGCGAACAGACACCAAACAAATATCACTCGCCTTTTCACCTCTTCGCAGCTTCTACTGCCCCCCCATTGGCATAAACAAGGGGTCGGCGGTGTGGCGTAAGCCTAAGAATCATTAGCTAGCATTTTCTTATTGTGTCTACTCACTCTATCTCGTATACGTATATACTTAGTTTTATTCGTACGATCAGTATGCAATCATGGATAGTATTGGTATGATTATTGTATGGTTACGCTTCTTGTTATCACTCGCATGATTATCAATAAATGATTCGTCTTATTATAATGTTCTTAAATGTCCGTATTCCTCCTCCTCCTCTTCCTCCTCCTCCACCTTTTCCTCCTCCTCCTCCTCCTCCTCCTCCTCCTCCTCCTCTCCCCCTCCTACTCCTCCTCCTCCTCTCCTGCTCCTCCTCTCCTCCTCCACCTCCTCCTCCTCCTCCTCCTCCTCCTCCTCCTCCTCCTCCACCTCCTCCCCCCCTATCCTCCGTCATCTCCTCATCCTCCTACTGATCCTCCCGCCGCCTCCTCCCCGTGTGCCCTGCGCGGGCCTCGCACGTACGCGATGAGCTCGGTGGGGTTCGCGTAATTCGCGGCCTGGGCCCCCAGCGGCCCCCATGGCCCTCCCGCCCAGGCCTCCGCGCTGTCACCTGAGGCCCCCGGGGCAGAAGAGCTTCAGCGGCCTCGAAATTCAAAGATGTCCTCCTCGGGGATCGAGGATCGGTCATCCAGATCCTGCCCTCAGTCGACGCATTTTCCTCGCTATCCTATACGCATCCTCCTCTTCCTCCTCCTCCTCCTCCGCCTCCTCCTCCACCTCCGCCTCACCTGCCTCCTCCTCCTCCTCCTCCTCCTCATCCTCATCATCATCATCATCATCATCATCATCATCATCATCAACAACATCATCATCATCATCATCATCATCAGCAGCAGCAGCAGCCCCAGCACCACCATCACCATCATCATCATCATCATCATCATCATCATCATCATCATCCTCATCATCATCATCATCATCATCATCAGCACCAGCAGCATCAACATCATCATCAGCATCATCAGCAGCATCAGCATCATCATCATCATCAGCAGCAGCAACAGTATCGGCATCAGCATCAGCATCATCATCCTCAGCATCATATTCATCGTCATCGTCATCGTCATCACCATCATCAACATCAACATCATCATCGTTGCCATCATCACCATCATCAGCAAAATCAGCATCAGCATCAGCAGCATCATCAGCATCATCACCAGCATCAGCATCAGCATCATCAGCGACCCCTTCCTCTGGGGCCTCCTCCGCATCATCATCCTCATTACTCTGGCCTCGTTAGCATCATCATCCTATCCTCGTTATCCTCCTCCTACTCCTACTCCAGCTCATCCTCCTCCTGGACGCAGCGACGATTACCACCACTACCACCACCGCCACCACTACCACCACCACCACCGCCTCAACCCACCACCACCACCACCACCACCAACCCAACACACAACCACCACCACCACCACCACAGGCACCCCCACCACAACCACCAACATAACTCACCATCACCATCACCACAACCACCACAAAAATCCACCACCACTACCACCACCACCACAATCCACCACACCACCACCACCACCACCACCACCACCACACCACCACCACCACCACCACCACCACCGCTACCAGCAGCACAACCCACCGCCACAACCACAAACCACCTCACCACAACAACCACCACCACCGCCACAACCACCACCAGCACCACCTCCACAAACCACCGCCACCACAACAACACACCATCACCACCACCACAAACCACCACCACACCACCACCACACCACCACAACGACCACCACCACCACCACCACAACTCACCATCGCCACCACTACCACCACAAAAATCAACCACCACTACCACCACCACCACCACCACAATCGACCACACCACCACCACCACCGCCACAACCACCACCACTACTCACAACACAACCCACCACCACCACCACCACAAACCACCACACCATCACCACCACCACCACCGCCACCACCACATCACCAGCGCCACCCACAAACCACCCACCACCACCCACACCACCACCACCACAAACACCCCACCACCACAAACCATCACCATCACCACAACCCACCACCACCACCACCACCCACCACCACCACAAACCACCACACCACCACATCACCACCCACCACCACCACCACCACCCAACCACCACCACCACAACAAACCACCACACCACCACCACCATAACCACCACCATAACCACCACCACCGCCACCACCACCACCACAACCCACCACCACCACCACCACCGTCGTCCTCGTCGACGCCCCCCGCCGCCGCCGCCCGCCGCCGCAGGCGCCGGCCCAGAAAAAGAAATCGTCGCGCCCGCCGCCGCCGCCAGCCGCCGCCGCCGACGCAAGCGCCGGCCCGAGGAGAGGCAAGCAAGGAAGAAAAGGGGGGGGAAGTCTCGAACCCCCCCCCCTCCATGGTGGGGGTCTGGATTCAAACCCCCCCCCCTCCAAGCGACCACAGATCGCGCGCTTTCCGAATTTGCCAATGTGGAAAGTGCCTCTGGCAAAGTTGGCGGGGGCCCTGGGCCCGAAAACAGAAGCCATCGACGACCGCCCACCCCCCTGTTACCGGTCGGCCCCTCGAAGCTGCATCTCCCGGCCCTCGGGCACCTCCAAGAATGCCCAAGAACGAAGGCCTTCGGGATCTCAGGGGACCAGCGCGCCCACGCCGGGCAAATTTCGAGAGGGCACACCACGCAAGTCGAGGCCCCAAGGGCCAGCATCGGTCGTCGAGCGCTCCAAATGGAGGCGCCGACGACGGGGGCCACTCCGACGGAGGCAGCCGCCCGCGCCGCCACCGCCCGCCCCACCTCCCCAACTTCCCCACCTCGCCCCCGTTGAACTCCGCCGCCATCACCCTAGCCACTCCCCGACGCATCTCGGCAGCGAGCATCTCGGGCGATCACCGGCACGAGGCTGGCACGCACGAGCAGCTCGCGGCACACGGAGCCCCGCAGAGGCCCGGGGTCCCAGCAGCACCTGGACGGACACGCAGGAGTCACGGAGAACGGACCTGGCAGGCCACTGGTCGAGGGCCTCGACAGCGCAATGACCCAATAAGCGCTCCAGGCCTTCCCAGAAACACGGCCGCCCAAAGGTCGTGCGTCGAAGGGCTCCTCGGGCCCTGGCCCGCCCCGCCCGTCCACGGTCGGGCACCCCCGAAGCGACAGTCGAGAACACAGGCTGGCGAATAGCATGGCGGACTGGACGGTAGCCATCTGCAGCCGCCACCCGCCCGCGCAGCCCCGGGCAGAGAGCTCGCCAGGGTCGCGCCAGAAGAGCAGGTTCAGCCCGTCGACCGCCTCCTGCGCCGACCACTGGGCGGCGCCCTACTGACGCTGGCGCAGCCGCGTCTTCCCCCCACAGCCGCAGCCAGCGCGCCCCGCACAAAGGACATCAGGAAGAGGAAAGAGAACCCAGCCACACCGATCACTTGCTACCGTTTGCCGTCGACGAGGCCAGACCTGGGGGCGACGCCGAACAAAATTGCCGCCGACAGGGGCCTCCTCGGGCATGTGGCCAGCTTCACGGTCGGAGACGGGGGCAGCTACTGGCGGCGCCACCCCCGCTCCCATCATCACGTCGTGGCGGGGGCCGAGGGCTGCACCCTGGCCTTCGCGACCGCGCCGCCTGCTGCCCTGTAGGCCCGCGCGACAATCGCTGCTTCCTTGGCGAGTTCCAAGGCCACGCGCGCACAGAGTGGCGACACCGCACGTGCACCGCCCGCACTCCCGCTGATGCCGAGGGAATGGTCGGACCCCTCGTAGCTCGGGACGTCGGGGTTCTCAGCCGCCGCCCCCTCGCGCAACATGACGCGGCGGAGCAGGAGCTCGACCCCGACGAGGTCATTCACGTTGGGGCCGTCGACCAGATGGACAGCTCAGCGCAGAGTCGAGTACTCATGGGCCGCCGAGCTGTGAATCCCCACGCCGCTCTCGCGCCTCCACCTGTCCGAACGGGCAACCCGGCTCGTCGCGCCGTCCGCGACGGCGCGTCGACCCACTCGGCGCCCACGCCTGGGCCTTCCGGGGCGGCGACGGAGACATGCCCTCCGCTTGCCGCGCGCAAGCCGTCATCAGGTCCACCTGCACCAGCGTCCGCTCCTTGGGCGCCCGAAAACAAGATACATGGGTCATCACAAGAGGAAGCTGGACCGCTCGAGCAACCATCGCGCGATGTCTGCCTTCCCCGCGAACAACTCCAAGCTAGCGCCGCCGCCGTCGATCACGACGAGAGCTCGGCTCCATCACGGCAGCACCAACCGGCAGCACGAACTCCGCCCCCACGTCGTGCCCCACAAGCGGTTCCGCGAGCACCCACGCGCCGCCCGCGGGGGCCAGCCGAGCGACCCCAGGAACGGCGGTCACTGCTGGCATGGGCGTCGCCACGGCCGCTGCAGCCTCCAGGCGCGCGAGCGGCCTCCCCCAAGAGCGGCAGCCCACGTTGGGCCCGCTCGAGGGCGCAAGCCTGGTCCGCCTCCGGGAGCAGCCTGGCCACCTCCGCAGCCGTGAGCTGAGCGAAAGTGTAGAGCACGCTGCCAGGGGCGGGAGCCCCGCGAGGCCTCGCGTCGAGCGGGGCCGAGAAGCGGATGCCCTCCGGGCCCATGCTCCACGAAGACGTCGACATCGGGCGACGCCACGGCGTACTCGCCACTCTGGACGAGGCCGCCCACGGTGCGAACGTGGCGCTCCCCTGCGCCGTGGTGCACCCACGCCGCACTGCCGCGGGCGAGCACTGCACCAGTCGCAGCCGCCGTGGTGTCTAGTGGGTATCGTCACCGCTGATCAACACCCCCATGCCTGACCTTTTGGCTTTGGCTGGCCCTGTCACGGCCACCGCAGCACTGCCCACAGACGACGGCACCGCAGGTCCTGGGCCGGGAGGGCCACCGTCGAGCGCCGACTGGCGCGCCACGGGGGGTCCGCCCTCGAAGCTCGCCATCCCCCGACGGAAGGGGTCCAGCCAATCACCACGAGGACGGCGAGGGTCAGGGCCGAGCAGCTCGCCACGGAACCAGTGCTCCAGCTGTCTGGCCAGAGCTGCGCAGAGGCTCGGGTCGCCTCGGCAATCGCAATCACAGTGGCAGTGCCGAGGGCCGCTCGCGGATGAACTGTCCGAGCACTGCGCCCGATGCGGCCGCTCCCCCAGGACAGAGGAGCGGCCAGTCCTTCATTCTCGAGCCAGAAGAACTGCAGCGCATATATATATATACACATATATATATATATATATACACACTCCCTGGCGACCGCTAAAACCCCACAGAGGAATCAACCACCCGCAGAGCACTCACAGGGGATCGCAGCATCGAATAATTAGCCGACCCTTGGGATCACCTTGGCGATCTTGTCTGTGTGCGCGCCGTCCTCTTCTCAAGAGGGAGGGGAAGGGGAAGGGGGCGGCGGGAGGAGGGGGAGGGAAGAGAGGAAGGGAAGAGGGAGCAGCCGGTCGGGACTATAGTCCAGGAGCTCCGACAA